TTGTGTGTGTGTGTGTGTGTGTGTGTGTTTGTGTAAGTGTGTGTGTGTGCTTGTGTATGTGTGTATGTGTGTGCATGTGTGTGTGTGTATGTGTGTGTGTGTGCTTGTGTGTGTGTGTGTGTGTGTGTGTGTGTGTGCTTGTGTATGTGTGTGCATGTGTGTGTGTGTGTCTCCGTACGTGCCTATTTTCTTGCTTTAGTTGAGAAATTTAGATAGATGGATAGATAGATAGACAGATGGATAGATAGATAGATAGATGGATAGATAGATAGATAGATGGATAGATAGATAGACAGATGGATAGATAGATAGACAGATGGATAGATAGATAGATAGATAGATAGATAGATAGATAGATAGACAGATGGATAGATAGATAGATAGATAGATAGATGGATAGATAGATAGACAGATGGATAGATAGATAGATAGATGGATAGATAGATAGATAGATGGATAGATAGATAGACAGATGGATAGATAGATAGATAGATAGATAGATAGATAGATAGATAGACAGATGGATAGATAGATAGATAGATAGATAGATGGATAGATAAATAGATAGATAGATAGATAGATAGATAGATAGATAGATGGGAAGATAGGGAGGGACAGACATAGGGACAGTGTTCAAGAGGCTTGATATGTTTACAACCAACAAAGTGAGCAGCTGCTGTAATTTTACAATGAAGTTGCGAATTTGGAGCTTACCTAACGTTGCAAATGGCTTTTTTTCCTTGACCTTAAAGACTTAAAATAGATAGTGGTCTTTAAATTAGCAGAAATCAGGGGCGAAATGGTTACGAGGGACAGTTAGGAAATTCTCATTAAGTTATGGTAAGAAATGTTCTGTTTATCTGTGAAGCCTGCGAATAAATCGCAAACCAGTTTGTCCAAACTAAGAAACATTTATTTTTAAAATTGTTTTCCCCTTTGAAAAGAATTAAAAAAAAAAAGAAATACGGCTATCAATAATATTAGTGATTTTTCTCTCAGGTTGTGCTTCAGCTACTGCTACTTCAACTCTTAGCCTCGACCTCCTGTTTGAAATCGTTCCCTTGCTCTAAATGTCAGATGTACAATGCTCGTGTCTCCCTCTCTTTCATGTTCATCAATCGCCCATTAAACGCATTCTTTTTTGCTTCGTACATTAATCTCCCACCACATCGTTCCACAACTTGTTAATATTCCTTTTCAACCAATATTCTTTCTTCTGTGAGATTCTCTACTTGTATTCTTCCCCTTCTCTTTTAGAATGTTACAGTATGTGTGAATTTTTTTGTTTTTTAGCCTTCATTCTTCAACATTGTACTCCTATTCAGTCTTCCGTCTTCATAGGATATTGCTCTCATTCGTCCCTCAACGTTCCACTACACACATTTTGTAATTCTCTGGTATTTGTCTTCCATTTCCATACGTCCATGACGTATGTCGTCTTACTCTCCTTTATTCTTTCCCTGCATTGCTTACTCACTCGTCCCTCAAATATCCACTCTTTCATTCAAATTTTAATATTATCCCCGTCCTATTCTCCCAACAGTCTTCCACACCATTTATCGATGTATACTAGGTCTGTCTGTCTACTACTTTCTGTTTCCTTCTCCCCTTCCTCAAGTGCCACAGACGGAATTACATCGCTGTTGATTCAATTCTGGCAGTCAAAGATTACCTCCCGTTTTTGTACAAAACTTACTTACTTCCCTTGGTTCGGAAACTCAACATCATTAAAGAGCCGTTTTCGTATGTAAACAGAAGATTTCTTTCTCTTCACATCCAAATGTCGATTCAAACATCGCCAAACCTTTCAATCCGCCGTCGATTTCTGATGTAGTTTCACAGAGTAAACCACTCGTTCTTCAATGGGGCAAAAGTGGGAGACTAGTAAGTTGTTTCTTCTTCTTTTCTTTCTTTTTTTTTTTTTGAACCTCAGCTTGTTCCGATAGATGGTAAACGTGCCAAAATGGACGTATTGAATTGGATTTTTGATGGCGGCCAACACAGGCGGAGGCGTGTACGTAACCGGGTTGGATGAAAGACTCATGTTTTTGTGCGTTTGAGATGTTGTCCCAGCCTTCTCAAAATGTGTGCTCCTCGACACTCGCAACAGAAAGAAAGATTGGCGGGAGTGGTCAAGAAAATGAAAAGAAAGAGAAAGAGAGACAGGCAGAGAGAGAGCAAGAGAGAGCTAGAGAGGGGGAAGGGAGAGGGGGAGGGATAAAAAGGAAGGGAGAGAGAGA